TGTGTCAAAACTGACCATTCGTATTTGTATTTTATGGGAAAAACAGAGGGTAATTTGAAAACGGATTTTAGGGCACTTACCCTCTTTATATCTGGCTAATTTTTGGCATGCTTATAGTTAAATGGCTTGGCCGTAGGGCAAACCTGTCGGTTTCACTTAAAGCCCTCGACGAGGGTTAAAAAGTGACCATCAGTTAAATTTCCCGTACATAAGCTATATAAAAACTTGCCTTATATTTTGTGAGGTGGTAGACCGACCCTGGATGGTAACAAAAAAAACTTTATTCCAGTCGGAAAAAGCCATTATGGTCGTTAAATATGTCTAGATACAATTTTTTATTGTATAAGCATAGCAACTGTTTGTTTACAAAAAAAAAAAGTAAACAAAGACATACGTCATTCGTTTAATTTTCAACGGAGGTAACTTTTTTAAAATAATTATTTTCAAATAATTGTACACTATTTTAAACATAAACAGAAAATGACGAAGTATAGCATTTGTTTCAGTAAAAAATTAAGTTGTTATTACTTAGTTATTAATTAATTATTTTTATAAATTACGAGATACACTATTCATGTAACCTCTGTAGTTCTAATTCCATTTTGTCATACATTTCACACTTTCCAATATTTTGTCTGTAAACGGACTTAAAACAACAAACAACAACATTTTCTCTAAAACTAGCATTACTGTTTAAATTTAGGCACTCCACACCTCATTCATCACTAAATAATTAAGTATTCTAATTCTTAAATGTTTTTGAAAACCTAAGCGAAGCCAGGCAGTATGCCTAGTATATATATACAACACAAGATTGTACTCATCGTCGCTTAAATTAGCGTCAGCAGCACATAACCCCAAAAGTATCCTACTGATTACCAATATGTACTAATTACCAATTATATATATATATATATATATATATATATATATATATATATATATATATATATATATATATAATATATATGTGTGTGTGTGTGAGAGAGAGAGAGAGTATGAGTGTGTGTGTTTGCGAGCTAGCGTGCGTGCGCGCGTGTGTTTGTGTGCGTGTGCGTGTGTGTGTGTTTTTAAAACTGTAAACCTGCTGTTCAATGTTACACCACGGTCATAAATATGAAATACACTCAACTTCCCATCTTCTATATCAACATAACATATCATCCTGCATATCGAGATTAACACGACTTACTTTAAGCTCTATACCATCAGCAAGGGCCCTTGTTATGTGTGAGAGCACGAGTTTACAGTACCCAACGTCTGAAATCTTATTATAATTGTGTGCACAGTAGTATCCCATTTGTCTATCCAGCTGTGATGAGCAGATAGCTAAAATGAGATAAAGCAACGATGACTGAACTATTGATACTGTTTTCCCTTAAGTTGAGTAGGAAGACACAAAAAATATTCACTGCACGTTCGGTGAAACGATAAATGTCACATCTTCCAAAACGAGAAGTTCAAACTAATTTCTAGACTTGATTTTCTATGGTTATACTCAAGACTTGCAGCAAAATATCTTCTGTACTTTAATCCACAAACTAGCTAGGAACACAACAAACTCAAACAAATAATTGAAATGGTCTCAGTTAGAAAAGCTATTAATACCTACCAGCCAAATTAATAGAAACTACTCTCAACCAGTGTTTCTTTTAAAAGTTTTACTCCGGGGGGAACGGCGAGGAGGGGGTGCTTGACAATTAATGGGGGGACGGGACGCGGATTTAATTTTCCGGGTCGACGGGTGCTGTTAAATTATATATATATATATATATATATATATATATATATATATATATATATATATATATATATATATATATATATATATATATATATATGTATATATATATATATATATATATATATGTTCTATTTCGATCGAAGGGGGGTAGGGGCGTAAAACATTCTTCGAACCCCCCCCCCCCCCCCCCCCCACTGCAGAATAATTTCCTGGAAAAGAATCTAATCTCAAAATCAAATCATGTTGTCGCAAACAAGTATTTTAAAAATGCATGTTTATTTTCGTCTACAGATATATTCAGGCAAGACGCGAAAACAAATAAAATGATCAGCTAATGTCTCGAATACTATTTTTCATTCTACCTAAGCAAAACAATTTGCTTTTTCTGTTACTTTTAGATCAAGGTTTAGTTCAAGTCTTTAACTTTTATTTCATTTCTTTTTATCTGATTTGTTTGATTGCAAGCTAAATCATCGCTCACAAAACATGGCCTTTGTCAGTAGATGTCTAAAACTTATACTAAACTAATTGGTAATTAGTATGATATTTTTGGGGTTATGTGCTGCTGACGCTATTTAAGCGACGATAAGTACAATCTATTGTGGTAAACATAATATGTTATCGATAGCATTCGTTTCTTTTAGACATCATTGTTGACATCGGTATTATTGTTACTTGACTCACAAGCATTGTCACTCCTATGTATGAAATGTGTATAACTATCATCTTAAATACTATTTTACTATATAAACCGTATAGGTACTCTACTTGTCTAATATTATTATCCAAACAAAATATGTTCAGGATAGGTACTAAGTTTTCTATGGTGATTTAATGAAGCTATTTATAGCACAATTATAATATTCTATTCTAAAAAACGTGTTTGCTATTTGTTTGGTCCTGCTTTGGTACGAACTCAATTTGCATTTGTTATTAATATAATTCAACGACACGTTTTTACAGAGTCTTTAGACCCAAACAGATTTAATCCTAACATAATACCTAAACCGAGAATCCCATACGCCAGCGGGTTAGTATAATAAATTATAAGCTCCCAACATAAGGATAGATATAGCGAGTCCTAATTGAAAACCCGTTTGGAGATTCAGCTGTCCACAAACAAAAGCCTATACTTAGATTCATTACAATAACGTACATTATTTATTGAATCAATACATCTAGTTGAGAAAACGTGGCATGCCTGATAGCATGTAAATATTGATAAGCAGATCTCTGCTTTGCCTTACCTCTTTGTTGTCGGGGTTTATATTTATAATAAGATAACGCCGGTATGTTTACCAAATTGAAACATACTTTTATATTACAAGACAACGCGTGTTTTCATCTATTTTAACCAATGATCATTTATTCATTTGTGACACTCTATCACGAGTTCGTCTAATTATCAATTCCCATCAAGTGAATCAAGACTATAATCAATCTCTGAGGGAGAACTAAACTGGTGTTTTTATAAGAAAACATCAGTGAACTTATTTTTTTTCCAGCAAAGTTTGTACCAGATAAAACTAGTTTTTCTTTTTTTAGCCCTTCAGTAAATATTATCGGTGGTTTAGTTTTGTTTTCAATCAAGTGCAAGTGCAGAAAAAAAAAAAAAGAACAAAAAACTAACACAAAATAATAATTAAAAAATCCATTCTGCTTAAAGCTAATTCAGAAATTTTATATTTTAAAATAATTTTTATAAAAATTGCAAATCAAGAGAACTTGAAAATGTTGTGTTTTTTTTTTAGCTTAAGCCTACATTTCTTTTCATTTGTATCAAGCCTACGTTTTAACCTGAAGTTTTGCTTTCAGAAGAGATAATATGTGCAGCAACTTCCTGATCGATATTCTGAAAACCAAACGTTGTAAAAATGTCATACACGTTTGTACTTAAAACTTTGCCGATTCAATTTTAAATTTTGGAATATTGATTTAAATCATAAAAGCCTGGATCAGCAATTTTTTATTTCCATTTCTGTGATAAGTCTAAGTAGCAAAATTGTCTGCCTTTTTAAAATTGGTATTTATCTACTGAAAATACTTAAAACATCAAATACGTCCAATCGTTAGTTTTAGTAACGTCCTTTAAAAAAAAACAATTTTTTAAAACCATAATTATTTTAATAACTTGGTATGTTTTTACTTTCTAATATAAACGAGGTATAGAGAAAGTATTGTGATCGTGCAAAAATAAAAATCGAGATTTTTGCAAATCTCGACGTTTTACATCTCCCTGGATCGGAAAAACATAGTTTTACAATTTTGTCCGTATGTCTGTGTGTGTGTATGTGTGTCTGTGTGTCTGTGTGTAAACACAATAACTTGAGTACCGTTACAGCTAGGTTGATGAAAATTCATATACAAGTATTATATAAAAATCATAGATGCGAATCAACTTTTGAGCGATTTCTGATAACCAGAAGTGGTACTTTTTTTACTTTGAATTTTTCAAAAGCCTATAACTTGAGTACTATTTCAGATAGATAAATGAAATTTCACAAGTAAGTGTAAGATCTAATTTTCTGCCTTCTAACAAATGTTGAGTAATTTCCGTTTACCGGAAATAGTAATTGTAACTATTTCCGATTTCTCAAAAAAAAAACGCATGTGAATTTATAAAGTACTAATAATATTCCGCACTATTATACACATCTTTATTCGATGTTCGCTTGGTGTACAATTCTTTTTTTCTATGAGATTCTATTCTGTTTTACAAAGTTTAAGTATTTAAAAATGAATGAAAAATCATGTCTTTATTCCGAGTTGCCATTCCCTGTTGTTTCATTTAAGAATATTCGAGAAAGTTTAGGGGAGAAAACTCCCGATTTATTTTATATCAACATAAACAACCCACTTTTACCAAAATAAGCAAACATTACTAGCTAAATAAATTTTAAAATTATCACGATACGCCGATGCATTTAATTAACAAACTTTACGGGATTAGCTCATACCACATGGTTTACTTAGGGTCTGCTAATTGAACAATAGTGATACACTACGTTGATTTGTGTTAGACTGTACAACAACACTGTAAAAATCTTACAGTTTTTAAATTGAGGGCCGAACATGTACAGAATGAAACTAATTTCAATAATCGCTTACTGTTTGATGGTAGCCTTGGTTTGTATGTTGACATTTGTTGGTAAGTCTCTATTAAGACAATATATATATATATATATATATATATATATATATATATATATATATATATATATATATATATATATATATATATATTAGGGGTCGGCTAAGTCGATTCGGTAAAGCTCATGGTTGCTAAACCGATGAGTCTCGAATTCGTACCCTCGGCTAGATGAGGCTCGTGATCTGGGGCAGCCATTCATCTAGGACAGACAACTCCAAAATCAAACAACTACTGCCTTGTAGTTTGTTCTTGGTTGGACAAAGGCTATGGAAGCAAATCCAAAAACAAAAGTAAGCTGAAATCAGAGTCAATGGCCTCAATGGCGCATAAACAGTTGACACGTTTTCTTAATTGTGTTGGATGGGATCCTTTCAATCACTAAAATTTAAGAAGAAGAAGATAGTAAATTGGCATACAAAAATTATTCAAACGGTTTCGAAACTAATGTGACTGAACAAGATTAAAATAAGAAAAGTAATCAGCTTTCTTTCCCAAAAGCTTTTTCGTTCAAAAGATTTTTAAAATATATTTTAGCTACCAAAACTTTTATGAAAAAAAAACATAATAGCTCCATTTTTTATATTTTTTAGTGTATCTAAAATCATGTTGCTATAAAGGTTATTTTAATTTTTATTCCATTAACGGGGCATTACACCTTTTTTTTCATATTAACGGTTTTGATCTTTAATGTAGCTATTTTGATGGGATTTAAATCTGCTCTAAATTCAGTTCAGTCTGATTAACGGGAAAAAATAAAACTATTAATTTATAGAAACTTGAAAAGAAAACACAGCGTAACACAAGTGAGATGCTACACGATTTGTTTTTCTTATCTTCTAGCTGGTGATTGCAAATATGGTGGGAAGACGTACAAGCACATGGAGGTCACATCTGATAAACTTTGTAGATGCTGGGACATGGCTGTGATGTGTGCCTGAGAGCTGATGTAATAAAATACATATAATGTATTGAGTGTAATGAAAAGCAATTAAAGTAAATTTTAAACTTGTATGTGATTGTTATATTTTAAACATTTTAAAATTAAATGTGTGTAATTAAATACACTTTCGTTTTTAAGAAATACATAATTTTCTAAACAATAACTATCCTAATGTATAAAAGCCAATGTGTGACATTCTTTCTCTCTCTCTCTGTCCGCAAAATATTTTCACATGCTATGAGATCAGTATCTTCAGCGATATGTGAAGACATTGTCACAGACGTTTGTTGAAAATAATATTTTGGGTGTTTTAAATGTATAGACTAAAGAAGAAGGAAAATAATAATAAAGGCATATTCGAATGTAGAAAAACCGTTGTAATTATGTAAAAGGAAAAGTGTTTATAGTTTTGAAAAGAACGCAATAAACAATGACGTCACATGCCACGTGTTTACACTAAGGAAAGATTTTATTAGTCAACACAGCACCACATTCAATGAACAAGCTGGTTAAGAGCCTTAAAATTAAGAGACACAAATTTGCTAAAAAGCCGGCTGTTCAATGGTAGTTATATTGCTTTTGTCTTTTAAAAACACGTATTTCGGCTGAGCATGGGTCTGACCACACTAACGTTTCATATGCTGAGAAGACAGAAACAGGTGAACTATATTTCACCTGCTCCGTGCAACTTTATCATCCTCATCTAAAATAAAATTGAAAAAAAAAGATTTACTTGGTGTGTCTCGAACCCGTACCACCCGCATGGTAACTATTACACTATCAGCTATTTAGGCACTTTGGCTTTGATGCTGAATAAATGGTCTATTTAGGAAAATAAATTACGCGAATATGCACTATTATTTCAAATTAAATTTGATCCCAAATTAGTTAATTCCATAGCAAAGCAAGCAAAGATGTATAAAAAAAAATCAAGCCCTGAGATAGTTAAGTATAATAACTCATTATTGGCGTACGTCTTAATAAGTAGATCTAAAGCAAATTCGAATGAATTAGTGCATTTCTTTATATTTAAAATTGGAAGATGACTCCATCAGTTTTGTGTTTTTTCCTTATTTTTAAACATGTGTCATGTAACGTCATTGTATATTACGTTCTTGTCACAACAATAAACGCTTTAGTTAGAAATAAGGTTATGTTCAAGTCTTTAACTTTTATTTCATTACTTTTTATCTGATTTGTTTGATTGCAAGCTTAATCATCGCTCACAAAACATGGCCTTGGTCAGTAGATGTCTAAAACTTATACTAAACTATCCGTCCCGGCCAGGCCCTACTCTGGCCTCTGTGAAAAACCTATCTGTAAAGGACCATGACATGTGTGTTTTGTACTCAGCATATATCCGGCATTGCCCACCTTAACCACAACCAACCTAAACCAAAACACACAAAAAAAGAACCGCGAACATAACACAAACAAACACAACACAAACACAACACAACACAACCACATCACAATCACAACACAAACAAAACACAACACAAACAAAACACAACACTACACAAAACAAAACACAACACAACACAACACAACACAAACCGGGACGGCTAGTATTATATAAAATTGTATATCTTCTTGTAGTTTGGTGCAGGTGTCTATAAAAGAGCTTTCTGAAACCTATCTGTAAAGAAACATGACGTGTGAGTTTAGTAATCAGCATATACCCGGCATTGCCCACCCTAACAACAACTAACCAAAACCAAAACACAAATAAAGAAAGTAAACATAACATAAACGCAAACACTAATACAAACGATAACACAAAACCGACCACAAACACAAATACAAACACAATCCCAAAGAAAAAAAACACAAACGAAAAAGAAAGAACGAAAACGAACAAAATCAAAACGCAAACCCAACCACTAACGCAAACCCAACCTAAACACAAAGAAAACACAAACGCGAACATAAACGCAAAGTGCTCACAGGGGTGCCAAATCGCGCCATGCTGGGCCGCCGGCGGAATTGCCTGTTTCAGCTTAATAAACGACTATAATACCCCAACTTATTCAGTCTTTTGCACTCACTTAAACGAACGTAGGCGCCAAACCGAACACGGGAGGCCCGGGGCCCCAAATCGCACACTGTCTTGGCGCCAGAGGACAATTATAATACTCCAAGCTTATCCGTAAACGGAAAGAAATAAACATATAGGACATGTAGGACCAGGCTTATTAACTGTTATTGATTTTAAAAAAAATTAGTAAACAGTAAGTTCAGTGTATAGAATAAATAAAAGGCAGTATTAAAAATACCTAACACATTTGCACTTGATCAATCCCCACTAATTATGTAATTATTTTTTTTTCCCAACACCAAAACAAAGTAATAAAAAGTACATTCTTTTCCATTAATGTATTGTTTTATAAAGGGGAGTAATTGTGTTTTCCTAAATTATCAAAGGAAAGTAAGTGCTAAAGGACTAAATATAAATAATTTTCAGACATAATTAGAATTTTTGTAAAAGATGATAATTTTTTTAAAATTGTGTTTAATGAACATGCCGACAATTATTACTATCAGTTTGCAAAATGAAAATTATTTCCCAACACTTTCAGTTTTAATTTTTTAACTCATAAATTTAGACCACGAGTACTATAATAATCTAAAACTTAAATCCATTTAAGTATCCACGACAAACAATTTTACGATCATGTTACATACAGAATTGAGTTTTTCCCACGTTTTCTTTAACATTGCTTTCGTCTCTGTTTTTCCAATCAAATCTTGCGATCGAAATTTCTGGCACTTCCCAGTTAGCTAGCGCGCTGAAATTTTCAGGGAAGCTTTGTTTTGGACGACAATAGAATATACAATTTTTATTATTACTAAATTGATCCATGAAAACATTTTATTGAGCATTTTAGACCGCTATATAATTGTAGTAAAAACGTGGGGAAAAAGGGACATCACCCAGTAACTGTAATTTGATGAAAACAAGGTTCGGTACTCTCCCTCTTTGCTTACTGAGTAGTGTTCAGGCTGTATTTGTGTACAAACAACCGTAACAACTGGTGGCCAGTATGGGGGAGACGATATGGTCGAGTGGTTGGGCACACGATTGCTATCCCACTCGACACGGGTTCAAATCTATGTGTTCTAGTCAGTAACGTATTCACACAACGTGTTTTTTACGAGTTGTCTTTTTACGAGTTGTCTTCGTTTACCCAAAAAAAAGTGAAAAGATAAAATCGATAGCAAGATTTTAATGCAAACAAACAGACAAAGACTAAAAAGTAGAAAATAATAATCATTAAAAAAGTTTTTAAAAACCCACGTTTTCTGATTGAACTAAAAAGTAGAAAATAAATGCTATACATCACAATAATGCAAGCGATCACTCTACTATAAGCGATCAAAAACGTGGGGCGCCGTGATTTTCTTACAGTTTCTAATACTGTTGACTCTCTACAAGCTCCCTAATAAAAGTCAATAGTATTATCTAATCAATAGTAATATAACTTTTACTTCGGCGCCCCACGTTTTTCATCGCTTATAGTAGAGTGATCGCTTGCATTATTGTGATGTATAGCATTTATTTTCTACTTTTTAGTTCAATCAAAAAACGTGGGTTTTTAAAAACTTTTTTAATGATTATTATATATACTAGATTCACCATGAGGGGTTGCGTGTATTTATCTTTTTGACGAACTGAATGCATTTCGCTGTTTTGTGGATTTCAACAGTGAGCATGTTTTAAAATTTTTCTTTTAAGGTGAGGCTATTTTAATCGATTCGAATTTGGGATCTTAGTTTAACGTTTTAGTTAATTGCAGCTGAAAAAAATGAGTGTAAAATTATGCATATATATGTGTGTGTGTGTGTTTGTGTGTGTGTGTGCGTGTGTGTGTGTGAGAGTGTGTGTGTGTGTGTGAGAGAGAGAGTGTGTGAGAGAGTGTGAACAAGGCAGCAGAAGACGAATGTCCTTCTTTGTTTCGTCCCTTCTCACGGCGCCCAGATGCGAAAGTATATTTTGTCCATTGCATCTATTCTTTCGACATATTTCGTATCTGAATTTGTTTTCGCAATGTTAATTTAAAATGAATACGAATAAACATATATGTTGTATATTCACGTATATCTTTATGCATTCATGTAAAGATTTAGAGAGTATTTGATTAGAATTTAAGAAGAATCGAACAAACACTTTTCCAAATTTATTTTAATTTATTATCACTTTCCAAGCTTTATCAGCCCTTATAATATAGTTATTGTGCCCTCAAACACAGGCCTCTGTGTCGAAAATACACCAACACATTTCAAATGGGTCGGTCGTCTCCATATGTTGGAACACACTACCTCTGACATGGCACTCCCCAACTGAAATAAACCAAATTTAATGCACATAAACGATGTTTGTATTTTTTGTGTTTCCTTTTTGATTTCCAAAATTACACAATCTCTAAGGAATCTGGCACTATTTAATAACACTAGAAGGAATAGGCCTGGTCGGTCCGATAATCCTCATGTTGACTGAATAGTAAAGCCTCGAGTCCAAACCACTTGACAGTTGATACTCTATAGCCAGGGAGAGCAACCCATCTAGAAGCGAATCCTTTGAATAATAAACATTGCTGGAGTAAAAACAAGGTAATTAAAAAGTCTAGTGACAATTTTAGCGCAATTTCCTTATGTTATCTAAAAATAGCTCTGTCGTAGCGTAAATCAAGAGCAGGGTTAGTAAAACCATTGGTTAGTTATTAAAACGTTTTTTATTAATTTTTTATTTACAATAGAGTTACATGACTAAAAACCATTGCGCGCCTACTGAACGTGATGGCGCAGCCATGGAACGCGATGGCGCAGCTATTGAACGTGATGACGCGTGTGGTGTGGTTGGAAAAAATGCCTACTAATTCGGTCCAAATTTTAATTAATTCAAAAAATTTTTTGTGACCGAACGAAAGGATATGTTTGAAAACTTTCTTCGGCAATATTGTTCTAAATTATGGCAGGAATCGATTGGTACATGTTTCAAGTCGCTTAGTAGTCTGGTTGCCGAGATATGGGCCTAAAACTGCATTTTTTCGAGGTTTTTTGGCTTTTCCGGGAAATCCATGAAAGAAACCCGTAATTTTTATGGCCTATGTTCATCCTCGTAACTTGCTTAACATAATTGCTTTTGGAACTAGTCATCGATATTGCTTCGTTGAGGAGGAGATACGACTTAAAGCCCGGACACACATTCATCCATACATTCATCCATCCATTCATCCATCCATTCCCAGAAATGACGAGTTAATAAACGCAATTCTCCAGAATGGAAATTGCGCTAAAAAGTTGTATTTTTTTCGTGAGTATGACACGGTCAGGCGAGTGAGTGAATGGTTGCTCATACCAAAAGTACCGAGTTCGGACCCACTGGCTAATGAGGCTTGTTGGCTACGGACAGCAAACAAGCTGTGCTAGTTTTTTTTTCCTACTTCAATTTACTCCACCAATATAACTAATATCAAGTATGATCGTGCAAATATTATATAGAAATACAGACTATATGAAGACCCTATCCTGTGAATTCAATGAAGACTTGAAGACAAGGCTATTTTATCCTTATATAAAAGCCCGTGCGACACTTCTCTCTCTTTCTCTCTCTCTCTCTCTTTCTCTCTCTCTCTCTCTCTTTTTCTGTCTCTTTATGTCCGCAACATATTTCCCACGACGATGAGATCATGAGATAAGGAGCTATCAACCCTCGTCTGCCCGTGGGTTCGTCTAACTCGGGACTTTTCAGTTTAACGTCTATGAGTTTTAAGGTCCTACCATGCCAAGAAAACTAACAAGAACCATATATTTTTAAGGGAGAAAACTACACATATAGGTCTACTTAATTAACAGAGCTATTAAATAAACGATAAACATTACCACGGGTATGTATTTTACATTTCTTTCACACCGTTACATATCACTAGGGTATAAGTAAATGTGTGTAATTAACTTTGACTTACCAACGATTTCCATCAGACATGTCAAGGCTACGAAGACAGAAACAGCTATCAAAGAATAAGGTTTCATCCTGCCAAGATGGTAGGTCTATTTGTTGAAATAAAACGTTTATTGTTCCTGTACAAACCAAGCTGACTTGTGAAGAAATGAAATGTATTATTATGGCTTTAAAGTACGCAGGAGGGGGGGGGTGGTAGGGGAAACTGAACCATTTTATAGATAGTGATTTTTGGAGATTAATTACATACAATTAAAAACACGTACCGCAAATAAAAAAAAAAGCAAACGCATTACTGAAACCAGTGTTAATCTATGTACTCTAAATATCACATTTTTTTAAAATAGCTCATTACACGTATATGTATAGCTTACTTCTGAGCTTAATTATCGGCGCCTAGCTAAGCCCTAGGCATGTGCATATATATCTATATCTATATCTATATCTATATCTATATCTATATCTATATATATATATATATATATATATATATATATATATATATATATATATGTATTTATACTGAGAAAGAGAGAAAGACAGGGTGAGAGAGAGATAGGCATATTGGGTTGTGAGAGAGAAAATGACCCAGTAGATTATATAACCGCTAGAGCAAAATCAATGCACACTTCTCAAATCAATAACAGGTAGCATGTGCGAGTGACAAATAATTAATTTTTTAAAATAATGTTGGCTTTGGGAGATATAAATTGGTGTCAACAAGTTATGCATTGCGCTTGTTAAATCTTCGGGCTACATGCTATATCAATATTTTAGACTAATTAAACAAGATGCTGGTATAGGCCTCAAAGATCTTTTCGTTTAGAAAGCAACACGGAGAATTACATCAGTTTTGTGTCCTCGAAGTCTGTCACGGATAAAATATCCAGGTGTTGCCCCCCCCCCCCCACCACCAGACCCCACCCCCACTCCCCTGAACGGTGAAGTCACAAAGTAGCCGAGGCAGAAACTTACTGAGCTTTTAGTTTGGGGTTGCAAAAGTTGATGCGTGTGTACTGATAGTAAATGTTCTTATGCGTATTGTTGTAAGAGTTTAGTTATTTTGTTTGTTGTGTATGATTCGTAGAAGAAACAATAACTGAGAGAATAACTAAGCTCCGTATACAGTTTGCCGCTAAAAGCGTCTAAAGTGACGCGGTGGGGGGGGGGAGGGTTCCAATTATTTCCGTTATTGTAAATATATATATTATATAAATAAATTTAAACATATATATATATATATATATATATATATATATATATATTTATATATAATTTATACTTATATAATATATAATACAGAGATCGCATTACATATGAAGAGTGTAAAAGACTGAACTATTATGTATAATAACTATATTGTAATTGACATGAAGTTGCGTGAATGTAGAGTACCTGGCCAACGGAAGTAAGTGTGAGCGACCCGTCATGTATTTACATGCTTTTTGTGAGATCGTTCACTGACGTAAGGAGAGAGAAAGCTGTGTATAAAAGGTGAAGCGCAAGGTGAACGAGTGTGCTTGCCTGTGAATGTGTAGTAGGATGTCACCACGTTACTTTGCTTCTTGATTGTACTATACCAGTTGTTTTTCTTTCTACTATGGATTATTATCATTTCATTGTGGATATTGTAAATAAAGTTTAAAGTTGCAAACTACTGTTGTGTTAGTGTATCAAACGAACCCACGACAACAACGTATCATCCAATCGACAATGGATATTACTGTTGTTACAAAGAGGTTCGTCATAAGATAGAATGGGTAAAGTCCATTGAAGAACATAATAAGCATAGATAAAACAAAACAAATGCGATAATAAGGGCGTGTTACACAAGCCAATGGCAAATCCTAATTATAATACAGGTCAATGTATATATATATGTATATGTATATGTTATATTTCTATCAAAGGGGGGAACGGGGCGAAATTCCCCCCCCCCTCCGGCGGAATAAATGCTTGGAAGAGACTCTAATCTCAAAATCAAATCATGTTGTCGCAAACAAGTATTTTAAAAATGTATGTTTATTTGGTTCTACAGATATATTCAGGCAAGACGTGAAAACAAATAAAATGATATGCTAATGTCTCGAATACTATTTTTCACTCTGTCAAAGCATAAAAATTTGCTTTTTCTGTTAATTTAGATCAGGGGTCTCCAAACTTTTCAGTCCAAGGGCCGCATTAACTTTCGAATTTCAGTTCGGGGGCCAGTTTTTTTCCAGGCATGTCTTTGATTTTTCTTGGCAAAGTTCCTCAGCCTTCACCAACAAACGAATTTTCCTTGGACAAAAAGATCTCCGTGGGCTGGATGAGGGGACTTCGCGGGCCTCATCCGACCCGCGGGCCGTAGTTTGGAGACCCCTGATTTAGATCAAAGTTAAGTTCAAGTCTTTCCTTTGTATTTCATTTCTTTTTATCTGATTTGTTTGATTGCAAGCTTAATCATCGCTCACAAAACATGGCCTTGGTCAGTAGATGTCTAAAACTTATGCTAGATTCAATATGAAGCGTTACGTGTATTTATCTTTCTGACGTACTGAATGCATTTCGCTGTTTTGTGGCTTTTCAACAGTGAGCATGTTTTAATTTTTACTTTCAAGCTGAGGCTATTTTAATCGATTCAAATTTGGGATCTTAGTTTAAGGTTTTAGTTAATTGCAGCTTAAAAAATTAGAATAAAATTATGCATATAGGCCTATATGTGTGTGTGTGTTTGTGTGTGTGTGTGTGTTTCTGTGTGTGTGTGCTTGTGCTCGTACGTGTGTGCGTATGTGCGTGTGTGTGTTTGTTTGCGTGAGTGTGCGTGTGCGTGTGTGCGAGTGTGCGTGTGTGTGTGTGCGTGTGTGTGTCTGTGTCTGTGTGTGTGTGTCTGTGTGTGTCTGTGTGTGTCTGTGTGTGTGTGTGAATTTGTTTTCGTAAAGTTAATTTAAGATGAATACGTATAAACATATATGGTGTATATTCGTGTATATCTTTATGCATACATGTATAGATTTAGAGAGTATTTGATTAGAATTTAAGTAGAATCGAACAAACACTTTTCCAAATTTATTTTAATTTATTATCACTTTCCAAGCTTTATCAGCACTTATAATATAGTTATTTTTCCCTCATACACAGCCCTCTGTGTCGAAAATACACCAACACAGTTTAATTGGGTCGGTCATGTCCATATGTTGGAACACTCTACCTCTGATGTTTGTATTTTTTGTGTTTCCTTTTAAATTTCTAAAATTACACAACATTTTATTTAAAGAATAAAAATAAAAAAATAGAGGCGTATTCGAATGTAGAAAAACAGTTTCAATTATGCAATAGGAAAAGCGTTTATAGTTGTGAAAAAGAATGCATAAAACAGTGACGTCACTAATGTTTATACATTAACTAATGACGTCATCTGACGTGTTTAGAATAAAAAGAAATGAACTATTTCATTCAAATATTATTTAGATCTAGTACGCTATAAAATTTATACAATACAATTTAGCTCGGGCTAAACTTAAAAAAAATAAAATTCTATTAGGATTCTAGATCTAGATATTCTAGATCTAGATATTCTAGATCATCTAGATCTAGATGATCTAGATCTACGGAAAAATCTAATACGCCTTTATTTTTTATTTTTCTTCTTTAAATAAAATGTTGGTTATACATTTAAAACCCGACCACGCCGACCCCTATTTAGCATCTAATTTAATACAAAATAGATATTAATGCATTGACTTCAAAGAGGAAGGTATCTTGAAAATTTAAACGATATCTTTGCATCACAAGGCGGTAAAAATTGATGAAAATTTGCCACAAACGGTCGTTGTGAACTAAATAAAATCTTGTAAAAATAGACTAATGCAAAATATTGTTTATATAAGAAAAAAAGTAGTATCTAATTTTCACTTATTAAATGTTGAATGGAATATAATTACTAAACATTCTAACATTAAACAATCCTAAATTTAGTCAGCGCTTATTCAACAGTTAGTCGATGTCATTCTTTCTTAAACTAATTCTTTCAGTGGAATCTTGGTATAGTTTATTACATTTCTTTTTATCTTGACCAATACAAAATCCTATCAAAACATATTAATTCCGTTGAAATAAAACGTCATCGCATAGAAAATTATTGTAACCACATATTTTAATTAACTATATATTTACATATTGTCTTTAAAAATCTAGAGACTTACCAACACAGTTCAACAGACAAACCAATGCTACTATCACACAGTAAGCGATTATTGAAAGTAGTTTCATTCTGTATATGTTAGGCCCTCAATTTCAAAACTGTAACATTAATTAATCGTACTTGTACAATCGATCACAAATCAACGTAGTGTATCACTATTATTAAATTAGCAGACACTACGTAAACCATGTGTAATGAACTAATCCAGCAAAGTTCGATAATTATATGCATCGGCGTATCGTGACAAGATTTTGGAAAAATATCGATGTTTAAATACAAATTCAACTGCAATTTTGAGGGGGTTGTACGCTGAGGTGTGACATCATTTTAGGGGGGGGGGGGTCTGGCTTTTTGTGACGACATGTGACGGACGGGAAGGGGGGGGGGGGGTAAAAATCGTCAAAAAAGCGTGACGTCATTTATGGATGACCCCTTAGGTTGATTTTGTATTTATAGAATGCCGTTCAGTGTCCGCGTCTAAATGTTTACGTCGCCGCATTATAAAAGTTACCAAAATTAAGTTGTTTATGAGATATTAACGAAATATTTTTAAGGGCGCTTACTCCTGATTTATTCATTACTATCGATAAGTTTTATCATTTTTTCCATATTAATAGTTATTGTTCGGAAAATTATTTCCAATGCATAATAAATAGTAAAAAATGTAAATGTAAACAAAAATCTTTTTCAAAATGTTTAAAAAAAAACAAAAAAACAATCGCATTGAAGTTTAAAATTGACTTTAATTGTTTTTTTTACACTTAATACATTGCATGTATTTATTTAAATTACATCAGCTTTTAGACACACAAGACAGTCGTGCCCCTGCATTTACAAAGTTTATCGTATGTGATCTCCCCGTTCTTGTACGTCTTCCCTTCAAAGATGCAATCACCATCTAGAAGATCAGAAAAACAAATCGTGTAAAAGTTTCTTGTGTTACCTGTGTTTTCATTTCAAGTTTCTATAAATTAACCAGCTTTATTTTTATCCCGTTAATCAGAGTGAACTGGATTTAGAGCAGATTTTAAGCCTCTCCAAAATAGGCACATGAAGCATTGAAACCATTAAAATGAAAAAAATATAATGCCCGCTTAATGTGATAAAATATATAAAAGATTTTTATAGCAACAAGCTTTTAAATACACTGAAAATAAGAAAACACATTTTTATATCAAAACATGTTAATTTAGTTCAGTTGAAATTTGAATAGTAATTTCGAATAGTAA